AATGTCAAAGAAAGAGGAGTCAGGGTGACTCATTTTTTAGTCTCATCAACTGGAAGAATAAAAATGAACTGAAATAGGGAATACTGCTGAAGAAGTAGGTTTTGGGGAATGGTTATGTTCAATTTTAGACATGTTAATTTTGAGATACATATTAGAGACTCAAGAGAAAATACTGAAAAGGTATTTTGATACATGAGTTTGCACTGGATATATGAGTCTTCTGGACTGGAGATATAAAGTGGAAAATTGCTAGATTATAAATGTCATTTAAAACCACGAGAATGAGATCAATGAGAGAGTAAGTATAACAGAGAATAGAGGAGGTCTCTGGAACAATTCAATGTTCTTTGGGGAGACGAAGAAGAACCATAAAGGACTGAGGAGAATTGGCTAGTGAGGAAAAAGGAAAGCCAAATAAAGTGTTGAGAAGTGGCACAGGGAATGGCAACTGTGTTCAATGCTGCTTCAAGGTCATGTGAGATGAGGAGTAAGAATTGATGAACAGATTTAGGGGTGGAAGTCATTAGGAGTCTTGACAAGAGGTTTCTGAGAACGGATGGGAATGGATCAAGGAAGAATGGGAGAAGTAGATAGTGTAGGGGGTCGTACTGCAAAAAGGAGCGGACAAATGGTGAGTAAGCTGGAGGCAGAAGTGGAGTCGAGACGTATTTTAGGATAAAAGATATGAAGTGTTTTTACGGTGATGGGTATGATGCAGTAGAGAGCAAAAGAAAAAATAATAGTAGGAGAGACAGCAGAGAGAATTAGTGGTGCACAGGAAAGGGAAAGTATCTCGGATACTTGCACGGCTCACTTCTCCACCTCCTTCAGATGTTTGCCCACATGTCCCTTTCTCAAGTGGTGTTTTCTGACCATCCTATCTCAATTGCAGTGCCCCCTCCACCTCCACCCCAAGCAACCCTATTCCTCATCTGTTTTCTTCACCTTATTTTTCTCTGTAGCAATGATCACTTTATTATGCTACATATTTTACTTGTTTTGTTCTTTTATCTGTATCCTCTCACTAGAATATTATCTTCATTACAGCAGGGATCACCAATCCTTAGTTCTTAGTACCCATAACATGACAGGTGCTCAATAAATATGTGTTGAATATCCAGATAAATAAATGTTTGTCTTCTATGGTGCCAATCACATTACCAGGCATAAACTAGGCACAGAAATATTTGTTGAAGTACTGTCAAACCCGTAAAGTTATATACTTTATATATTTTTTATTATGGATTATTAAAAATAAATTTAAGACATATTATTTAATGCTTTTCCCTGATAATAAAAGTATCTCCATATATCTACATGTATATACTTGTATTTACAAGACTTGAAAGGAATGTTTCCCATCACTTAAAAAAAAATTAACAGCTTTATTGAGATGTAATTCATATAGGATACAATTCATCCATTTAAAGTGACCAATTCATTAATTTTTACTATATTCATAGATATGTGCAACCGTCAATCATCACAGCCAATTTTAGAATATTTTCATCACCTCAAAAAGAAACCTTTAGCTAGCACCCTTCTATCTCCCCCATCCCTAAGCATTCATGAATCTACTTTGTCTCTATAGATTCACCTATTCCGTATATTTTGTATAAATAGAATCATATAATAGGTGGCCTTTAGTAACTGGCTTCTTTCACTTAGCATGTTTTCAAGGTTCATCCATGTTGCAGTATGGATAGTAGTGCATTCCTTTTTATCTCCAAACAATATTCCACTGCAGAGATACACCATTTTGTTTATCCATTTATCTGTTCATGGACATTTGGGTTGCTTCCACTTTTTGGTTATTGTGAGTAGTGCTGCTATGAACATTTGTGTATAAGGTATAAACGTAGGAGTGAAACTGCTGGGTCATCTGGTAGTTCTATGTCTAACCTTTAAGGAACTGTATTCTACACTGCCGCACCATTTACATTCCTACCAGCAATGTACGAGGTTTGCAATTTCTCAATATCCTCACCCAAAATTGTTATTTTCTGTTGTTTTGATTATAGCCATCTCCGTGGATGTGAAGTGACATCTCTTCGTGGTTTTGCTTATCACTCATTACTCTCTCAAATACCAGCCTCCCTCTCCTGTATTGTAGAATAACTGGAATATCACTTCCTTCTACTATGTCCTAGCATTGCCTGAAAAATAAATCTGAATTGGTATGTGTGTGTTTCATAACAGCACTCTGGACCCCACAGGTATCTCTAAATATTATGCTTATCTTTTAAAAAATGGTCACACAGGATTCTGGCAATTCCCCACGACCCCCACACCCATCCTGGGATTTATATAATTACATAATAAGAGAAATGCTGATAATCTCTTGGAGGCCTTTATTTCCTCAGTTGTGACTTTTTTTCAATATCCCAAACCAATTTACATATGTGATTTTTCTCCTGTAAATGCAACCAATGTGAGCATTTATAAGTTGGAGTAACAGGTACAACTGAAAGGCTGAGCACTTTATTCAGAACCAAATATGGACAATTAGAATGCAACAACAGTCTTGATGAGTTAAGAACACCATTCTGGAAGTAAAAGTCTTACTGAAAATCTTTACCTTCCTCTCCCCAATTTGGGGTAGTAGTTTTCCTTTACAAAGAAACAAAAGACTGTTTTGCCAAGTACCAAAGATATGTGCATGCATCTGAAACAATAAAACAGGAGACAAGGTAGGGATGATGTGTGCAGGTTGCCACAGAGGTGGAAAGCTATTTCCTGGCACAGGAGTAGCTATGGTTGGGACACCTGGGTAGCGTGGGGTAATTGCATATGCAAATAAGTGCTGGGAAAGTGCTCTGGGTATCGCCTCCATTAAGTTCTTTCAGAAGTCATTACAGATTATGAAGCGTAGTGTCCTAATCATTACATTTATGGGAAGCAGTGGAAAGCAGTTCAGGTAACACTGCTATAGCTGAACAGGCTAGAGAAGTGGTGGCTGGACAAAGAAAAAAAGAAAGAGGGTTGATCCAGGTTTTTTGTTTTTTTTTTTTAAAGATGATCGGTAAGGGGATCTTAACCCTTGACTTGGTGTTGTCAGCACCACGCTCACCCAGTGAGCTAACTGGTCATCCCTATATGGGATCTGAACCCATGGCCTTGGTGTTATCAGCACCACACTCTCCCGAGTGAGCCATAGGCCGGCCCCTATTGATCCAAGTTTTGGAAAGTCGAGATCTTGGGAGCTGCTATTCCAGGAGATACAGGAAAAAATACCCTTTCCCAGACTACGGTAAAATAAGCATAACTATAAAAATGTTAATAACTTACCAGCCTCCTTGAATCCAGATGGAGTAACATCGAAACCACTATGTAGATGGTCACCCAATTTACTAGTCTGACTTAGGATTTTTTGACTTTATGATGCTGTGAAAGCAATGCACATTTCAGTAGAAACCGCACTTCGGGTACTCCCATAACTGATTTTCACTCAGTGGAGTGTTCAATAAATTGCATGGGCTATTCAACACTGTATTATAAAATAGGCTTTTTGTTATTTGTTTTTGCACAACAGTAGGCTAAAGCACGTTTAAGGTAGGCCAGGCTAAGCTACGATGTCCGGTAGGTTGGGTGTATTCAACGTATTGACTTATACTTTCTTTTTTTATTTTATTTTTATTTGTTTATTTTAACTTCTCAATGACTTACATGTTCAACTTACGATGGGTTTATCGGGACTAACTTCATTATAAGTCGAAGAGCAAACATGTGTTCATCACAAGTGTCCTTTTTTTTTTTTTTTTTGGTATAGTCAAGTGCTCACTTATCAAAGACGGGGCGGGGATACTGGCGTATGTCACACAAACTCACAAGTATTTGCCCAACATCCACAAAACAAGGTCCCCAGCAACCTACTTTTTATCTGCAAGAAAGGTGGCCGGTCAATTCTGCAAGGGCACGGTCGGTGGCGGTCCCTTTCCTGTCTTAAATCTGGAAGACACGTTAGAGATCACCCCGAGAAAACCTCCCTGAGACCCTCCGCCAGCGGCTCCAAGTCACCGCCATCCCCCGGCCAGGTCGCTTGGTCGCTGCCGAGCGTGCGGTGACTCAGAGGTGGCCCGAGTCCCCGGAGGGCGCCGCCCGTCACCCGTGCTGACGACGCGAAGGTCGTTCTCCAGAGACGAGGGGCGGCGGGCACGACGTCGGCTCCCGACTCACCGGCGCACTCCTGTCGCTGTCACTAACCTCTCGCGGTGGGAGACTCGCTGCTCGTGCGCCTCAGGATTAACTCCCTTAATCCGCATATAGCGCCGCGAGGCGGGCACTATCCTGACCCCACCGCACTGATGAGGAAACTGAGGCACACAGGCCCACCGCGGCCTCACGCTCGCACAGCCACTGCGTGGAGGTGGGAAGGGCGGCGGGGACGGGGGGGAGGCGACGAGCGGCCTTCTTCGTCACAGAAACGCCAGCAGCGCCCTCCACTCGCCTATTGCCGTCACTTAAAGCTCCCGGCGGCCCTGCCAGGAAGGGAAAGCTACCAAAGTCCCAGCTCTGAAAGCGCCCGCTGCAATCCCTACGTGGCCTTCCCTCAGGCCCGGATGCGCCTCACCCGCCCGGCGGCCGCGCGCGAACTGCAGCCCCCATAATGCACCGCGCGCGGAGCCGGGCCCCG